AAATAAATGTAATAAATAAATATTTAAAAAAAAAAAAAAAAAGAATATTAACTGAGAAGCGGAAGCATACTTTTAAAAACCTCATTCTCTTTAATTTATAACTCCAATTTATATTTAATGAAGAAGGTGACATCAATCCAAAAATTGTGTCTATACGTTACTTAATGTTACAATTCTCTCACTTATTCTACAAGTTACTTTATATTACTTATAATTCTCTCACCTGGCTTATCATTTTTTTACTTACTTTGGTTTTATGCCTTCTTAATTCTTATCTCTTGATGAATTATCAAACATATGGATGTCTACTTAACAGTTTTAAATTAACTCAAAATAATATCCCACTGCCACCTAACATGCCACAAAGCTATCTATCTCCACATACTGCTCCTTTCAAGAAACAAGCAAAGCAAAGTGAAGTGGCATGCATTTATAATTTCAGCTACTGAAGAGGCTAAGGGGAAAATCACTTTAATTTGAGGCCAGAGTCTGAATTTGAGGGCCGCCTGTGCAATAGAGCAAGATCCGTTCTCATACACCTTACACACACAGCATGTGCCTAGCAGGTAAGAGGTGTTCAGTCCCAGCACAACAAAAGGGGGGAAAAATGATCCAAAATCATTTAAATTAATGCAAGCCTAGGTAAAGCTATTTTTAGAAACTATGACATTAATTTTACCACCATGTATTTATCAGGCACTCATCAAATGTGAGGCATCATGCTAAATATCAACAGTACAGCATGGGGGACAGGGAGATAGCTCAGTAGAATAAGCACTTGCCTGGCAAGTGAAAGGGTCTGAGTTCAACCCCCGGTTCTGCCAAAAAAACAAAACAAAACAACAAAACAAAAATATAGCATGACACAAAACAGACAAGGCCACCAAGCTTGGTGGCACACCCCTGTAATACCAGCAGTAGGGAAGCTGAAGCAGGAGGCAACAAGCTCAAGGCCAGCCTGGACTACATAGTAAGAACCTGTCTCAAAAAAAACAAAAACAAAAAACAAAAAACAAAAAAAACCAGGCTCCATCCTAAGCAGTTTATACTTTAGTAAGGGGAGACAAACAAGTAACATATAACAAGGAAAATAGTCTGAAGATGGGGAATTAGAGCCATAGACACAAGGAAGGTGAGGGCACACAAGGAAGGCCTAATACAGAAGATGTTTGGGCAAAAACGTGGAGTGTACAAGAGGATCAGCCTTGGAGAAGCAGGAGTGGCTGGAGAATATCAGGCAAGAGGAACAGCAAATTTAAGAGGTCAGGGAAGAAATACCTGGTCACCCTTACAGAGAATTTGCTTTTAATTTCAAGTAAAAGGGGAAGTCACTGTAAGCCTGTAAGTAACATGATCCCTTATATTGAAAGGTACCCACTAGTCAGCTAAGACCAGCCTGTGCATACTCCAGCAATCCACAGGGAAATGACAGTGGACTGGCCCAGGGAGTAGCTGTGGATGTCCTAACAAATGGTCTGATTCTGAGTGTATTTTCAGTGCAGCCAATAGGATTTCTAGAGGTGTAGAAGATGATTCCAAGGCATCAGGCCTGGTTGGTTAGAAAGAGGTCAGGGAGTTGTCACTAGCAGAGATCACTAAAGGAGGGACAGATTGAAGGGAAATTGGGGACTGGACATGAGATATAGAGGGTTATGACTGAATTAACTTTGCAAGGGCTACCAGTCACCCAGTAGATGTCTAATGAAGATTTCAGAAACAGTAGTGTATTCATGTCCAGAGTTCAAAGACCTCAGGGTTTAATATGTACATCTGGAGATATCAGAATATTGCTATTATTTAAAAATCCATAAAAGTGGATGCAATCATGGAAAAATGGGTATAAACAATACAGGAATGAGGCTCAAAGAGTAAGCCGATAGGGCAGTTGAGGGCCAAGAAAGAACCAGCAGGGGCATCTGAACCCTCACATTTGATGGGAGGAGACTAGGGACATCCTAGAAGCAAAGAGGAAGGACCAAAAGTGTGGATCACCCCAGGGATAGCGCTTCATATAGCCATGTTCAGCTGTGTGTGGGCTGCTGAGATGGAGATCAGAGTTATAAGCATATTTGAGAGGATTTACTGCTAAGGGGACGGAGACAGGGTGTTAACTGGACAGAAAGTGGGGCCAAGAGAAGGAAATGCCATCATGCTTCATGTTTATATACTGATGGGCACAACCTGGTAGAGGGAAGGGCAATGACAGGAGAAAAGGACACCCACTGGCTGAGTACCCTTGAGTGGGATGGGAGATAAGATCCCAGCCCAAGGAGAGGGCTGACTTATCAGGGGCCTCCCCTTTCATCTGGAATTAAAGGCAATGAGCTAGATCAATAATGGAAAATCTTCTAGAACTTTCAATAACAAACCTGCTTTGGCATGCACACCATTAGGTTTGCCACTACTGAAGATGGTTCCTCCCCAATAAGAGGGGGTAATGGGGATATGATGGATGTAAGGAAGCTGCTGAATGTGGTTGGGTATGTGTACAGTCTTCTTTTTAGTTCTATTTCTCAGTAAATCTGTGAATAAGGCCACCAAGGGTGGGTGTAAGAGGAAGGTATGCATGAGAGGGAAGGTAACAATTCAGAGAAAGATCAGAGCCAGCTCCCACCCAGTCAGTATGTGATGATCCACAGAAGCCTCAGACTGCCAAGGGCAGAGAGTAATCTGCCACTGTTCAGTACTCATAATCTTCTGAGAAGATTTTGCCACACATATTTCCCACTAAAATTCTGATGCTAACTTTCAATAAGTAATCAATGAAATCAACTTCAAATAATAAAACAAACATGCCACCAACAGCCCTATCTTCCAAGAACTTATACTCTGCAAGTGTCTGACTCACCTTTTCAAAAACAAATATGACTAATATCCTTGCTAACCCAGCTGTCCCCTACCTTGTCTGTCTTGACTCAACCAGGCAACAGCAGTCATCCTTTCTCTGCATGACATAGACTGAAGGATACACATGAACTCAAAGGGAAAGGTCTCACCTCTTACTGTCCTCTTTCTCCTGCAGCAGGCTGCTAGACAGACACTCTGCCAGGAGCTCCTCAGTAGAAGCTCCTCGCACCAGATCTTCTGCACTGAGACTTCGCCCCAGTTGGCAGCTATCTGCATTCCTCAGCTCTTTACAATGCACATGAAGCAGCGGAGTGGAAAACTTGCGTGCAGAAGGATGAAAAGTCTTTATTCCTAAACTGTAAGTACATGTTTTGAAATGCTTTCAATCAGTAAAGAGGCAGAAAGGATCCCTATAGCATCAAGTGAGGCATATGGACAGAACCACATGAGTTCACCTTGGGAGAATACATGCTTTAAACCCACACCCTCCTGGGCGCGCATACTGAGTCAGTCCTGCCTGCAGCAGAGAGCAGCCCTACTGTGCATGGTGACCCTCACACACAGCAGCAGTGGCAGGAGACATTTTCTATTGCTCCTGAAAGCTTCCACGATCCTGAGACAGCTGGATGCTCAGAGATTCTCAATTTTGTGTCTTGTGCCCCTACCAGAGTTGATTATTTTTCCCTAATTTTTTTTTTTTTTTTTTTTTTTTTTTTTTTTTTGGTGGAACCAGGGTTTTGAACTCAGGCCCTTGTGCTTGCCAGGCAAGCGCTTAGTCTACCAAGCCATTTCCCTGGCCCCATTTTTCCCTAATATTGCCAATTGTTCTTCACATTTAGCTCTTGAATCCTTCTGGAAGTAATGTTTGCAAATAGTGGGAGAGAGAGACTTCCCCTTTTTCTCCTGAACAAATGCCAGTGTCTATCCTTTCCAAATACTTTCACTATCAGTCTGACACCCTTATCATATATGGTTCTACTTCACAGACTTTCTGTTCTGATCCATTTGTCTACTCCAGCATCACCAGTTTTAGGTACTGTGCTGTATTAAGGTGTGTTTGTGATATCAGGCCAAGTAAGTACATCCTCCTTAGTATTCATACTCAAATTTTCTCAGCAATTGTTACAATTTCTTATCCTGATGAATTTTAAAATCAATTTATCAATACCAAGGGAAAATTATATTGACTTTCTGATTAGAAATGCTCTCTCTTTATGATCTGAGAATGACATCCTAACAGTACCATATCCACCAATGACAAAGGTAGTCTGTACCTCATTAATCAGGTTTTCATTGTATACAGGGTCCTGAGCACTTCCCTGAACAGGGGTTCAGGTCTTTCCTGTCCACTCATGCCCATGAATTATAGGACTACAGTGGTACCTTGGTTCACAAACTTACTTTTTTCAACTAGTCTGGAAGAGACAGCCATGTTTATATTTATGTGGGAAAGATGGCCATGGTCAGGTTTGTCACCAAAAGCAGAGTTCAAAAACAAAAACAAAATTTTGCCAAATACTTCTGTTTGCAAACCAAACTGATCACAAACAAAAGCATGTGTGACCCAAGTTGACACTGTATTCCAAGAATGTTGTGAGAATATTTAAATAGATTTAGGTCACCTATCTGGTTGCCTTTTTGACTTCTGGACAGTCCTGTGGCTTTAACTGTTGGTTATTGTGGGTGGACACTTGTATTATCTGGAAATAACAGTTCTTTTAATATGTGCCCATCTTGCTCATGTCCCTGCAGCAGTCAGGACTCCCAGGATAAAAAGGACAGCCTAAGACTGGTTTCTATGCATTCTTTCTTATATGTAATGGATTTGCTTTCTTTTTTGGTAGTGGTATGGTAGCTAAATAGCTTGCATTGAGTTAAGAAACTTTCTTTACAATGAAAATGTTTTAAGATTTCATAATCAATAGAGAAGGGAACTTTTGTACCCAAGTATGACAATAAATTTGTATCAGGATTGAGTTAGAAATTTTAAGAGATTTCAGGGGCCGGGGAGATGGCTCAGTGGAATAAGTGCTTGCTTGGCAAGCTTAAGGGTCTGAGTTCAATCCCCAGTTCCACCACAAAAAAAAAAAAAAAAAAATTCAAAGATTCTGAAATATCATTTATTTTGTTATTACAATAACAAATTATAGTAATAGATTTCTACTGTTAATAACTGCTTATTCTCCATGGGAATTTGTTTTTTAAATGTTGCAAGACTACATGTACTCACACTTTGCTTGGTAATTTTTTTTTTTTTTTTTTGGTAATTTTTTTTTAAGTGAGGTAAGATACCAGCTTCCTTATCTTTAGGGTCAGGTCCACCTGATAAATAAAGATGCCTGTAACTCGGGCTGGGGAGCTCAGTGGTCTAAGCACCTGCCTGGCAAGCAAAGGACCTGTGTTCAATCCCCATTACCACAGGCCATGCCAGCCCTGGAACCCCAGGTGCACCATGCTGGCCACCAAAACCAGACATGGTGGTTCACGCCTGTAATCCCACTGCTGGGAAGTCTAAGATAGGAGGATCACTATGAGTCCAAGCTGAGTAGCAAGACCCTGTACCAAATAAATAAAAGGTTAAAAAAAGATATCTGTAATTGTGCTCTAGAACAGTTTGTGAGATAACAGGCAAATGATCACAACATCACCCCATAGCAGGGCTGGATCTGGTGTTACTGGATGTTAATATCCATGACATACTTTTGGATGGAAGTGGTACAGTTTCACACTGCAACAGAAACAGATATTAAACATAGACCTCACCATCCCGGACTCAGCTGTAGCTCCTTCTGTGTCTGCATTCTGGCTTGTTCCCATGACAAAGGAACCTGGTATTTCTTCAGATGGTTTTTAAAAAAATACACACATATCTGACCATCCTCACTCTGTGCACCTGAGAAAAAACAAACATAAAAAGACTATCAAAAGAGCAACAAATAACTTCTTACATCGGCTCAAACTCACTGATTTAAGGACAGCCTTCTGACTGGTGTGACTTCCATGCTTGAAGGATATATATATATAATATTCATTCAAGGGTCACTCAAGGTCCAGACACACTTACATCCAGACTGGATAGGGCCAGGAATGACTCTCAACCACAGAATCCCCTCTAATTTAGAGCATGCCTAGGAGGTCTGCAAGGGCAGCCCAGGCCCTCCAGAAAACTCAATTCTTCCCAGTGTTTCTAAGTCACATAGATGTCACTTAGAGAAATCCTAAGGAAGGTAGATGAAAATTCAAGGGAAAAGAAATAATATCCAGTTAACATTCTTTCCCAGACCTGGACCAAGAAAGTCTCATGAGGACCTGGCCCGACAGCACAAAGCTTCAGCTACCTGTTGTGACTGGCAGCCTGGGGAGTGTCCAGTCCCTCAGCTTGTGGTTGATACACAAGGCAATGATGTCATCCCATGGGATCTCAGCAACCGAGGGCCCTACCCCCTGGCCTGGGAAGGAGCTCTTGCTCTTCCACTTCCGGTATGTTCTGCAGAGCAGGTTCTCCACCTGGGACTGCAGGATGGGTTGTGTCTGGCGTGAGCTGGGAATCTGGGAGATATACTGGACAACCATGGAGCACACAGGAAGCCAGGGCACTGGAGAGAAAGCACCTCATTAGTTACAGGTTTGACTAAAGTACAGGTGAGGAAGTACATGAAGATATTCTTGGCGCTCTACCTTTCCTCCACAGAGGGCAACTGTTTGGGTGGGAAGTCTGCTTCTATATGCACAAACAGCAGAACTACAGCTGGCAAGAGAAAGGACAGCTTGTTTTGAGGCCCAGCAGAGGGGTGCAAACAATCACCTTGGACAGGACCCACCGCTAGAGCAACCCTAGCAGCCGTGACAGCACTGGCTGCCCCAGAACTATGTTTAACAAGAAACCAGGAGCACTTTGGCTTCTGCACAGGGACCCCCACCTAAATCCACCAAGGTTCCAGTGCATAGGGCTTGTGCCAGGTCTTTCATTTCCCTTCGGGTTCCTAGAATAAAGAGCTCCAGTGAGACCTACTGAAGACCACATGCCACAGTTTTAAGAGTGCCTGAGGCCGCCCAAAGGAAGTTTGTGTACAAAGGCCTAGAGATGTCAGGTAAATAACAGATGGTTCACTGTCCCTATAGCAATGTTCCCATGGGAAAAGCAGCCTTGATGTAGTATGCTCACGGTAACCTATTGTCCTCTAGACTCTGTCACAATAGCCTGTAGGCTGGCCCTGTCACAGCCAGATTCCAAAGGAATAGTGTGTAAGCCAGAACTGAGAGAGTAGAGCCAAAGCCCAGGAGCACAGGTGTGTGGGCCTCAACTTCTTAACCTAGCCCATCTGTTTTGTTAACTAGACCTGTCAGACAGGCCAGACCAGCCTACGGCTGAGGCAAAATAACAGCCCCACTCCTTAAACCAAGAGCTCCTTCCAACCAAAGACAGATACAGCCATGTTCACGGTCAAAGTAGAGTGTGGACCTCACAATGGAGCATGCTACCTGCCAGACTGTCACTACAGATAGAAGAAATAAGAAGCGCTGGTACAAGTAGTCCATCCTTCCTTCCTCCTTCAGCATAGGTACATACCTCCAGGGGGTGGAAGGTCAATCTGTGGAAGTTGGAACCCAAGCACAGCCTGCCTCAGCCAGGCCAGGTGTTCTGGGGAATTCCAGTGCAGATGAGGAAGCAGCTGACTCCCCCCTACTTCAGCAAACTCGGTGACAGGCCAGGACAGGTCACGCAGCTGCTCAGAGGACACCACAGAGGCCAGGAACTGCAGCACACTGTTGAAGAGCTCAATGATGGTGCTAGGTTCCTGTGAAACCAGGGCACCCAGACGCCTTTCTCTTCTGTCATGGAAAAAACGACCACTAAACTCACGGACAACCCCATCCTCAATGTACTGAGTAAGGGTCTGGCAGCAAAGGTCAAGGGCATGGGGGCAGCGAGAGACAAGCCATTGAACTGCCCGCGAAACCTGAGAAGCAAAGACAGAGAAGCATAGTTAAATGATTCATGTTCATTTTCAAAACCACTTTCCTCTAGGGGCTTGTTGCTCTTCCCATGGCTGCCCAAGGCAGGTATCACTGGAGCTTTAGGTTCTTAAGTAGATAGGGCAATGCAAGCTTCCTGGTGGTTGATTTAGCTGTCTAGTGCCCTGAGGTACGCTAGATGGGGCACCTGCAGAGAGAGGGAGGGCAAGCTTCTATCCTGGCATAGCTTCCTCTTCACCACACAGAAATGGAAGCCACGTCTAAAGCTTAGTGGCAGTGGCTTTACCTCAAGCCAGGATGCCTTCACACCCTATTTTCTTTCTTCCTATACTATCAATCATCAGTTTTTCTGAATGTGATTGTTAACGAAGACTTCCTTTTTAAGGAAATCTCCAATAATATTGTTCTTCACATATTCAAACAATAATCACCCTAAAAAATTAATGTGTACCTGATGTTCACACATACAGGATAAACGTTCATTTTAATTTCACTGAAAAATTATAAAATTACAAGAAAATTGAATTTGTTGCAGATAGACAAATTGGACAAATTTTATCTTTTGATTCCTGCTTATTGTAGATGGCAGAACTAAAACATTTTGATGGACTTTTAAAAATGATGAAACATCCCTTCCCCCCAAAAAAAAAAAAAAAAAAAAAAAAAACATTGTCATTAATAAGACAATTTGAGGATTTTTTTTTGTGGGCAAAGGGTGGCCAAAACATTACACATAATTCCATTCTGGTAAAAGCAGACCATACGTCTGCAGTGCAGTCACGCCGCACTCAGTAAAAACTTGAAAGATGCCCAAGACAAGAAAAAAAAAAAAAAAAGATGAAACATTACCTTTTTTGTCCCTTGTAAATCACTAATAGAATCAGGAATTTCAATAACAGTGTAATCTGAAATTAGTTTCACTGAAACCAAGTCCTGCAGCATTAAACCTTCAAGGTAAAAAGACAGAAGTCACATGTCTGCCCTTATCATGTACACCTAAAACTTCACAGTGCTCATCCCATCCACCCTGCAGCTAGCTCATAAACAAAGACATCTTCACAAACCATCCTCCACTTCCTTCTTGATGGTGTCCCTTCCAGAACTAGGCACAAGAACCACAAGTGGAATTGGTGGGTGGAAGGGCTTGGCCTGTATGAATTGCTTGAGCTGTAGCAAGGCCGAGAGCCAGTACATGTCCTCCTCTGCAGCATCCTCACTCTTCACTCTGGGTGGAAGCAGCAGCATGAGCCCACTAGTTCCCAAGAGGTCCTTCTGAGTTGCAACAGCATCAAGGGCAGCATCACTGAGCGTACCATGAGCCACCTGCAAAAGTAGGCATCCATCAAGATGGAGTTTCCAGAGGACAAGCCAGCAGAGAATGGTCTGCCCCACAGCAAGTGCAGCCAAGTCCTCCACCCACCAAATGTTCACAGGCTCTAGAAGGCTTCAGAACACTGCTGGGGCAGGACTTCAGTGAGGCCATGAATTAGTGAGACAAACACTTTAAGTCAACAAATAATTTAGTCTCCAACCTGAATGTTTGAACCACATTCCTATAATCTTAACAATGAATCTTAGCGCTAGAAAGGTCCATTGTGGCCCCAAGCACTCCTCTGATATGCAACATGGCCCAGCAGGGAAGAAACCTCAGAGCCAGGGATATGGATAAGGATGCAGATGTACATGAAAGGAGGCCGTGCCAAGGGGAAATGGTATGCTTGCAGGCCCAAAGGCCTGGCTGCAGTGTCTTAGCCTCCACATGGCTTCCAAGGTGGGTATAGACTTTGAGGAGCCACCTCATGATGTCTTCTGTGCACAAACCACACAAGGCTCCAGGGACCAAAGAAGTATAAAGAATGTGGCTTCTACTACTGTTGCCACCATGCTGAGGTATAAGCAGAAGTTCCTCAATCACCATCTGGCCAAATACTTCATGGTATCCAGGCCTGCACATCCAGACCACCAGGAACAAAGTAGGGAAGGACAATGCCGAGGTCAAGATGGAGCCACAGAAGGAGGTAAAAAGCCAGGCAGAAAGGGGATAAAGACTGAGGAAAACAGAGCTGGAAAGAGAGCAAGATGGAGAAAAAGGGTGAGGATGAGAGAAAGGAAGACAGTAAAGAAGATAGGAAGAAATGGAAATTAAGCAAGAAAGAAAGGCAAAGGAAGACAATCAAGACTCAGAGGCAGGAGAAACTGGGGCAGAAAGCAAATTTAACTCAGAATCGGAAATGGAAGCAGAGAGTGGCCAAGAGAAGAATCCAGATGTTGGCAAATCACCCACTGGCCAATCTCACTTGGCAAGGGTGGTGAGTCAGATAATCCAAGTCAGTGGTCTGAATTCAGTGGGAAGATGGGAAGGCGGGAATGGGAAGAAGCAAAGGAAGGAGGGAATGAGGTGGCAGGGGTAAAAAAAAAGACCTGGGACAGAGGGACTGAGCATCACTCAGAGTTGTTTCTGGGTGTGTTATGAAGGACACTTCGTTAAGAACAGAGCCTGGCCTGGCATGTCAGGACCGACAGGAAAGAACATGTAGCCCAGCTCGTCCTCAGGAGACTCTGATGTTGTGCCCAGGATCACCAAGGTACAGAAGAAACCGAGGTCAGGTTCCCTGCACAGGGGCTCATGATGTTGGTTACAGTGTCAGCCCCTGGTATAATTACATCTGCTCGATATCAAAGTGTATGCTTTCTGACCTGTACTGGTGTTTTCCAAATAAATAAGAACACATTTAGCTTCATCTCTGAACACATAATCTCAAATCTAAAATCGATTTATGCAGATTTCAATCAAATAAGGAAAATTATACTCATTAAATAAAATTTCCCAGGAAACCAATTAGGCTTAGTATTATATGAACACCTAGAGGAACAAAAACCAGGCATAGTGGTGCACAGCTATAATACCAGCACTTGGAGACTGAGGCAGAAAGATTGCTGCAGGGCAGGGAAGTTGGCTCAGTGGTATAAGTACCTGCCTGGCAAGATTGCTGCAAGTTAGAGGCCAGCCTGGGCTACATAGTGAGTTAAATACCAGCAAGACTCTGTCTCAAAAATCCAAAAATAAATAAAAATATTTTTTTAAAAAGAACAGGGCTGGTGAGATGGCTCAGTGGTCTAAAGCACCTACTTAGAACAAACTAAGCTAAGCAAAGCACAGGGACCGTGGTTCAATCCCCAGCACCACATGCCAGCCAGCCCTACCCCCTGGTGGGCTGAGCTGGCCACACACACACACAAAATACATACATAAATAAATAAATAAAAATTAAAATAAATAAATAAATAAATAGAACAAAAAATTGAGTTTATAATAAAAAAGAGGCCAAGCTGAATGTAAAACAAGAACAACTAATGTTGGTGGACACAGTGCCACATATCAATAACCCCAACACTCTGGAATGCTGATAAAGAATTCTAAATCTAAGCCTAGCCTGGGCAACTCAGCCAAACCCTGTCTCAAAATAAAAACTGAAAAAGAGCTGGGAGTATAGTTCAATGTGAAAGCTCTAGGGTCACTTCCCAGTTTAAAAAAATTGACACACCTACAATATTTGAATGGTAATGGAATATTCATCTGTGACAAAACTAAACAAAAAAAGGAGATATAAATGAAGGACCATTTTGCAGTGAAAAATACATATATATATATATATATATATTCTGTACATATAAAATAGGATAGATATACAGCTACTTTCTCTTGGCATGGAAGCCACGTAGATTTGTATTAATAGTGTTTGGACAGGATATCATGTCTGCATCTTGTACTATGAATAACTAGTACGAAGACAATATGCAATGTATTAACTGTTGTAAATATCCTACTAACCTGTTTTGAAACTATCTCATTGCTATTTCTCAATAAAATTAAAATAAAAAACAACACCAAAAAAAAACCCAAAAACTGAAATGACCAATAATGAACTTATTCACTATCAGTTGGCAAAACATATAAAATTCATGTGAAATGTTTTGCAGTTCATCCCTCATGAGGTAATTACCAGTGTATCACTGAGGGGTTCAGGGCTTCTGAATTATACATACATCACAGGTGTACTTGTGGATTTTTCAGGATTGCTGAGTATGCACAAAGTTCTCAGGGGATCTGTGACAGGCAAAGCTCACTCCTTGCTAGTCTAGACCTGAAGTCCCTCCCAAAGGTGCCAGCTTGGCACCAGTGAAGGGTGCCAAAACGTGAAAGCCTAGTGGAAGGTCAGCAGTCTCCAAGAAAACTATGGGACTTTGGCGCCCTTCCTCCTCTTCTCCATTCCCCAGCCATGAGCTGTTCGGTTGGGCTGTGTCATGTTTTTCCACCAAGATGTGCTGCCTTATGATAGGCCCAAAAAGCAGTCAATAATGGACTGAAACCTCCAAAACTCTGAGCCAAAATAAACCTTTCTCTTAATAAAATGATTATCTCCATTATTTGCTAATAGTATTCATGGGACATCAGCATGACACAAGGAAGGACAGACATGATACTTGCTTCTGAGTCTCCATCTTTCAAAGCCACTGAGGACAACAGGTAGCACTTATACAAATCCAGTGCTGTCTCACAGTAAGGGAGAGAAGTAAAACATGGAGGTAGATACAGGAAGTAACTGTCACTCACCTTTACACACACACTGACAGAAATGGTCTTATCCTCTTTGCTGCTGAGTGCATTAAAAATCGTGAGAGTCTGAACCTCACCAGCATTACTGCACGTGTCACCAAGTGAGCCATTATCTCCCATGAATTTGACCTTTAACCAATCCGCTAAAATCCTGAGGGTAAAAAAAAATAACACTTAAAGGAAAATCTGACTTGAAATTTGAAAAAGACTGTCAGAAAAGGCAGGACCACACACCAACTCTGATGGTGAGGTTAAAGTAGAGGTAGTACCTCTATTGGATTATTTGAGTCAGATTAGCAGACATTCATGAAAATGAGTAATTCTAAAGTGATTTAAAAAATAAAACAAGGTAATTTAAGATTCCGAAACACTAAAAAGATTCCAAGCAATAAAAAATATCCCTGGAGTTTGAGATACATGTTTACAGAGTCACGTTTCTTTATAAGCACATAAGAATTCCTAAGTGTGATCATTATGTGTATCTAGAATTGTAACAATAGCCAGGCATGGTGGCACATGCCTGTAATCCCAGCATTTGGGAGGCAGGAGGAACAGCGGGAGTTTGAGACAAGTCAGGATACACAGTGAGTTCAAAGCCAATGTAGACTACAGAGTGAGACACTGTCTCAAAAAAAAAAAAAAAAATTGTACCAATAAACCTACTAAGAAAAAAATTTTAAAAACTTAAATGTATAATCAGAAAAAAATGACATGTTGCCTAGAATTCTTAGCAAATCAAAAATACCTGTTTTTGCTATTTGTCTCTCAATAAAATTATGGAAAAAAAAAATACCTGTTTTAAGAAATGAATACTTTTAGGGGTTGGGGAGATGGCTCAGTAGAATAAGCGCTTCCCTGGCAAGTGCAAGGGCCTGAGTTCAATCCCCAGTTCCGAAAAAAAAGAAAGAAATGAATACTTTTAAAATGTCCGAACTCTCTTCATTGTTCAGCTGTCCTGTGAAACAAACCTCATGACTTCCTCTTTTTCCTTAGCCTGCATGTGTCCCAACAGTGACTGCTGAAAAATAACATGGTCTGAGAACTTGAGGCCTGCCCACATTGGCAGGATGCAGAGTGGTGCAGCCACTGTCATCAGACTGGCACCTCCTCAATGACTCAAACTACAGTTGCTATGCAACGTGGCAGATACAGGCCTAGGTGCATCACCAGGAGAATTATGAAGAGATGTCCACACAAGTGCTTATACTTGCGTACTTATAGCAGCCTTATTCAAAAACAGCTGAAAAATGGAAATAACCTAAATGCCTGTCAAGCCAGGATAAGGAAGAATTGTGATGACTGTGGCTTTAAGTAAAGATCACTGGATCAACACTTAACATAGGTAAAGTTTATGGTATATGAATAACACTTTGATAAAACTTTTAAATCAACATATTCTCAGAGGGCTAATTATATAGTTCAGGCTGGCCTTGAACTTGTGATCAGGCTCCCAAGTGCTGGGATTATAGGCATATATTATCACACCTAGCTTTCTTTGCTTTAAATGTATGATTTCTAGAAGCAATTTGGTTGTGGAAATAAGGATATGTCATCTTTTTTAAAATGAAAAAAGTGTTTTCCTAATAATAGAATCACAACATACAAACTATAAACTGACTTCCCCAAGAATCTAAAATGTAATGGACTCTCATTGATAAACTTTAACATGACCCTCAATGATAATCCACTCTTACGTGATTCTAGACTAGAAGTACTAACAAGTATGTGAATAAAAATTAAAATCAAATCTAAAATACTAGCTTCAAATTTAAAATCGTAAGTAAAAGACTGTGAGTTTAAAACATTAACGATAAGCAAAACAGACTATGAGCATTAAAACAAAAACCAGTGCTTAGGGTTCCCATCACATGTGAGAGAGACACCCCAACACAGAACCGCCAGCCCCAGCAAGTCCCAGTGCTCAGCTTTCACACAGCCCTCCCTAGAGGGAACACCCCCTGACCTGCCAGGACTCCCTGGGAACTGCTCCTCTCCATCAGGCAACACCAGTACCAGCTTCCAAAACTCATGCTCCTGACTCAAAGGGAGGTGCTCGGCCACAAGTGAAGGCAGGTCCAGAGGCGCCCATGCAGCATTGCTAAAAAGGGACAAAACCACGGTTGAGCTTATGTGTGTACCACAAACAGAAGCAGACACATGGGAGGGGTTGAAGGGAGAGACAGACCTCAGCAGCCGCTGATGGAAATGCTGAACCTTCAATTGGTGAGCTGTCTTGTTTCTGAGCCGCCTCAACCTACAAAGAAAGGAGGAATGGTACCGTGCCAGCATCACACCCATAGAAGAGGCTCAATAGCAATTAGTGACATCTCTGAACAAATACTACCTAGCCTGTGTCTCCTGGTCAGGAATATTAAGAGACTGGGAAAACATTTTCTGATAAACAGATCAGAAGATACCTTTATTCCACAAATCCCATGTAAGTATCTATTGTGCCCTAGCCATGGGAGATCTATCACTATGAAGACAAGAACCTTGGCTTCCTAGAACACAGTCTGCTGGAGAGAACAGCACTATACTAGCTTGCAAAATGCATCAGTGATATGTTGCAGGGCAGACAGGAACAGTGACATGATCTGTTGTATCACTCTGGAACCAGAAAAGGTAAAGTGTGAACTCAGATCTGAAGGATGGAGGGCAGCCAGCGTGACTATTTCTGGGAATGGTAGGGTTAGGGAAGCATAGGGGTGGGTGGAGTTTAGTCCAGGGATGTTGACAAATGAGGTGCCTCAACCAGGTATCAGAGGACCCCACTGTTATGGGTGGAGGACTCTGGCTCAGTACTGGCCAATAAGGAGAAAGCATATCAGCTTTTGCATACTCTGAGGATGGAGTTACAAGACTGAGAGAAGGATGAGAGAAGGATGGCCAAGGATTGCATACTCTGAGGATGGAGTTACAAGATTGAGAGAAGGATAGCCCAGGATTACGACCTAACAGATGGCACCCTGTGAACAGGAAAGGGCAGGCTGGGAAGGCTGACTGTGAGATGCAGCAGAAGCACCAGGAACAGTGTGGAGGTGAAAACCAAGGCCCACATGGATTCACAAGAAAGATGGGCAGTGTGTACATAAGCTAAGACGACAAGGACAAGAACAGGGTTTCTGAGTCAGTCTACTCCAGAACCTATTTCTTTTAAGGTGAAAGCTATGTGAGGTCAAGACCTGCTTCCCAGTGTAGAGTGAATCATGAAAGATAGTCTTTAAAATGTAGCCGTCCTAGCCAGGGAAATAGCTCAGTGGCATACATGCCTGCCTGGCAAGTGTAAGGTCCTGAGTTCGATCCCCAGTACGAAAAAGAGTAGCAGTCCTGCCAGGGGTGGTGGCACATACCTGTAATCCCAGCACTCAAAAGGCTGAGGCAGTTGTATTGCCACAAGTCTGAGGCCAGCCTGGGCTACATGGAGAGTTCAAGATCAAGTGAAACTACACAACAAAACCCTTTCTCAAAAAACCAAAAAGAGGGCTAGGGATATACCCCAGTGGTGCAGTGCCTGCCTGGCAAGTGCAAGGTCCCAAGTACAAAAAAAAAAAAAAAAAAAAAAAAAAAAAAAAAAAACAAAAAACAACACCACACCCTAAATAAACAAAAACCAATATAGCCCTGTGCCTATCCTCACTTCCTGACTCCTTCAAACACACATGAATCTACTAGTTCCAGTGAAACCAAGCAAGTCCTGAGGAGGGATGCAGCTAGGCACTGACCTGGTACAGGAGATGCCCATTTTCCCTGCATGGCCCAGGCCCAGGAGGCTTCTATCCAGGTTCTCTTTAGCAATGGGGCACTCAGCACTGGGTGCCAGTGCACACAGCCGATCATTCACATCCACACAGCAGGGTGCTGCAGGAAAGGCTCGCATCTGGCGTCTCAGTTTCTTCCGGGCTGCAACAGCTTCCCTCCACCTGGGGGAGACAGCACCGTATCATCACTGGAGTTATGTCCAGGTAACCGGGGACATATGTGAATACAGCCCAGCTCCATAACATGGGGAAACAATTACATTTGTCAGTCTATGTAGTGTTTGTTAGTCTTTATAGATCTTTACTAGCAGTCGTTGTTATACTGAGAAATGAATCAGAATTAAAGTACAAGCATGAAACCAGGCACGGTGGTGTACACCTGTATTCTCAGCACTCAGAAGATTGAGGCAGCAAGAGGACAAAGTTCAAAGCCAGCCTGAACTCCATAGTAAGATTCATCTCAAAAAACCAGTCCCCCCAGAAAAACAAACATTAAAAGAGATGTGTCTGCGCTGAAACTACTGAATTTAAGAGCTAACATTAAAGAGCTCTATCAGTGGATATGTTCACATGGATACAAATCTAAGGAAGAGACCCTTCACCCAGCAAACACTGACAGAAATCTGACGGCATGCACATGTGCATAGGTATGAAATGCTAGTACAAGATGGTCACTGCAGCGTCCTACATAGCAACAGAAAGAGTCCATGTGAAGGCTAGCAACAGGAATCATCCTCTATGGCACGTACTTGCAATAACATGCTGTACTGAACTGACATTAACATGGACCTCGTGCTGAGTGGAAGAAAGGCTTAGAACACAGTAGGGAACATGTTTTTTAATGATAACCACAGGAAAAGGCAAGAGGTTTCTAGAAGGGTACATAAGCAGCTGGTGCTTCTGAGAAATGGATAGGAATCTGTCCTGGGAGATTTACTCCTTGCTATGTCCCCTTTATACTGTTTCAATTATCAAAGATACTACCATTCTTCTTAAATTTCATTTGAAATGAATCACCTTATAACATTAACACCTAAATGTCCAGAGTTATATGATAAATCAGGCACTCACATGCTTCACCATGTTTAGAAGCCATGGCCCCAACAGGCTCTCCCTTTTCCTCAAGATAAACACTATTCTGAGTTTATGCTCATTATTTTCCTTCTGTTCTTCAGGCTATCCTACTATTTATAAATCCAGTACAGTCTATTTAGTCTGAACATGCAGTAATGTGAACCTGTATTTATTTCCCTATGCACTCCTATTTTTCCCCCTCACTATGCAAGTCTCTGACTTGATAACCTGACTTTCAATTTTTTAACCTCTCAACAGTGCAAAAGTGGTGTATGTTCAGCAGAAAACAAACTTCAAATTTTGATCTCCTAGGCTAGCAATATGCTCTACAACACTTTTTTATAATGCTGAGAATATTGTATGTGAGCTACAGTCTGAGTCAACCAAAAAAAGGGTAAATAACCAACATGCAAGGGCTGCCCAGATAGCTCAGCGGACTAAAGTGGCTGCTTAGGCAGAGCACGGTGGCCAGGGTTTGATCCCCAGCCAGCCCTACCCCCAGGGCGCGCTGAGACAGCCATTGAGACTGGGCATGGTGACGCGCACCTGTTATCCCAGTGTTTGAGAGGCTGAAAACAGAAGGATCACTATGAGTCTGATCTATGCAGTGAGATCCTGTAGACCCTGTACTAAATTTTTTAAAAAAGAAAAATTTAAATAACCAACATTTTACAGAGTACTGTGTTGCTAAGCTATGATATTGGGTAGGTTAGATATATGAGAGTTGTTTTAAATTTATGATAGGTTTATCTGGAGTTACTGAGAGGTCATTCACTAGTGTCGGAGCACACAGATATGGTCTGTGCGTGTTATTTATTTTACTTTATTTTTTGGTACCAGGGATCAAATTCAGGACCTTGAGCTTGCCAGGAAGGAGTTTAAGCCACTGAGCTATCCCTCCAGTGCTTTTTTTTTTTATTTTACTATTATTTTTTTTTTTTATTTGAAGGAACCAGGATTAAACTCAGGCCCTTGTGCTTGCCAGAGAAGCACTTATTCTACTGAGCCATCTCCCCGGCCCCTCATGTGTGTTCACAGATATCTCTTGCTGTCTTGGATAGCCAAAACATCAGGCACCCTGTACACAAGTGTCTAAATACAGATCAGCCACTGTCTGGACACAGATGGCACCCTACAGACTCCTGCTGAAATGCACACCAGCCACAATCTAAGTAATTCTTTACTTAGCTTTTCATCTGCACTATTTAAGAAAATGTACAACTGTGTGTTGAACCAGTTACTTCTGAAAATATAATCCATTAGAATCTATTATAGCGTATGTGTTGCTATAAATGTTGTTACCCTTTTGTCACTAATGGAAATGATGGCTCAAGTAAGTTGAATGTGGTAAAAGATCTGCCCCATGTGTGAATTTTACCTGTAAGAACAAAAGACTCACCGCTGTAGATATTTGCAGAAGCACTGAAGTTCCTGGAGTGTCTCCTTTGCAGTCTGGAAAATTTCCTCCACAAGAAACAAGTCCACCAGCTGGGCACAGACAGCCTCACAGCAGCGGGTCACTCGAACCCTCTGGTCTATCTCTACTGCACTCCTGGAAAACAGGGAAGTCATACTGTGGAAATTAAGGTCCAGACACTGAGGGTTTGCCTTAAAGGTTTAAATCAGTCCTTCTTTTTTTTTTTTATTTTTTAAAAACTTTATTTTAACACCTAATGTAATTCCAATTTGAAGGAATACTTGCACAAAAAATAAACACATTTGGTATAAAAATGTATCGCTATTAACACCTTCCTCCGGCCAGCCCCCCACCCCACCCTCATGAACTGCGTTCTATCTGGATGCAGAAACATAGACCAATGGCACAAGTTAGCTTTAACCTACAGGAGTTTCTGTTTATGTACCCAGGTACTCTAGAGGACGCCAGCCCGCTTTATCACATCAACTATTTCCTTCAGCTTGCTGAATCAGTTTCACAAAGAAATTAAGCTTATAAAGGCAAGTCCATGCTTCTTACAGAAAAATAAAATTTAGGACTTTCATTTTTATTTAAAAGCAGACATTTGGGGGGCCAGGGAGATGGCTCAGTGGAAATAAGCACTTCCCTGGCAAGCGCAAGGGCCTGAGTTCAATCCCCAGTTCCGCCAAAAAAAAAAAAAAAAAAAAAGAAAAGCAGATACTTGGCTGGGCATGGTGGCAGATTCCTATAATCCCAGCACTCAAGGGGGTTTAGGCAGGAAGATCTCAGTGTGGTGACCCACTCCTTGGGAGAATAAGGTGGGAAAATGACTTAAGCCCAGAACTTCAATACCAACCTTGGCAACATAGTAAGAAAACCATTTTACAAACAAGGAAAAAGAGAAAAGCCACCTTTGTCCTAATGAAACAGTCAGATTTCTGTTACAAATGACCACCAAGATAAAGCAAAATCTCATTAGCTGCATCTATGTTATGGTTTATAGCTAGATGTGCCCCCAAGGCCTCATGTGCCACACAGGTGGGGCTTTGGGGAGGTGACAGGATCATGGGGGCATGGTATTCATCACTGGCTTAGTCTGCTGATAATACAGCTAAATTAGAGGTTGAGCAGAAGTGGATCACTGGGGTTATAGCCTGGAAGGGTCTAGCCCTTTCCCTCTTCCCTTGATCTCTCTGCTTCCCACTGCCATGCTGCCTTGGAGCTGATGGACTAGGAGCTGAAACCTCTGTATTGTGAGCCAAAAATACACCTCTCCTTTAATTTATGGATGTCAGGTATTGTACCTCAGTGACAGGATAGTACCATGACATTTACACTCAGGAATCTCAAATACCATAGCTGCTCTATACTGCTAAGAATAACTGCCTCTGGTCATGCAGTGGTGACTCTTGAATAAACCAGTACCACAGATAATTTTTATAGCAAAATTCTATCAAAGCGAAAGAGCATAGTGTCTGGGGCCCTAGCTTAGTGATAAAGTACTTGCATAGCATGTGTGAGGGTTTAATCTTTAAGTATTACCTTAAAAAAAAAAAAAAAAAAAAAAAAAGCCAAATGTGGTGGTGCATCCCTGTAATTCCAGTTCTCAGCAAGCTGAGGCACAAGGATCACTGTGTGTTTGAAGCCAGCCTGGACTACATAACAAGTTCAGGGCCAGCTAAATTACAAAGACCCTGTCTCAAAAAAACAAACAAACAAACAAAAAAACATAGCAGCATATACACTATATCCAGGTATCATGATGGTATATGCCTGTAATACCAGCACTTATAAGGCTGAGGCATGAGTACTGTTACAAATTTGAGACCAGTCCAAACTACATAATAAGATTTTGTTTCAAAAAAACCAGAGGGAAAAAAAAGAACACAGAGAACTACATCAAATATATTTGGTTATAAAATCAAAGTAGCTCAACAGGCAAGACACAATTCCAACAGCCCATATTCAGGAACACAGGAGACAGCCTGGTGCTGAGTTTTGAAGAAAAAAAAAAGCCTCCAGGTCTAGAACTGCAGGCCACATTCCCTGCAGTGCAATGAGCCCTGGGTTTTACCTGTCTACTAACACTCCTTCCTGAAATCAGGTACAGACATACTGCCATCTGTGAAATATTTTCCTCACATTAACCAGACAAATAGGTTCTCAATTAACAGGAATGGGATTCAAGATACACTGCCTGTGACCTGGGCCCACTGCCTGTAGTACACCAACATATTCCCTCATCTTCAGGTTACCCGAAAGGCCCTGAAGTACAAGGACAGACTTCTCTTCACAACTGGGATCTCTTTCTTCCAGGAAGCTTGGCAATAAAATCATTAAGAGTTCTTAAGTGAACATCAAGAAATCTTCTAACATAAAACAAGAGAAAGAGCTACTCAAAAAACCTCCAAGGCTGAGAAGGCTCCAGCAGCCACTCTGCAAACAAACACATCCCATGGCCAGTGGGTCCATGACAAGAAGGACATGGAAAGAGTTCCTCCCTGCCTCTGTTGCCTAGAATATGGAACAGCACGCTATCATCTCGCTATCCAAAAGATACACTCTGTCAAATTTAAGTGCAAACCAGCTATTCTGAGCTCTGCCTCTCTGGCCACAGTGCCTGAGCACTTCCTCCCTCCCACCATGCCACTGGCATGCAGGGCACCAGCATCTCACTCACTTCAATTCCTGTGAGCAAGTCTCCCACACACACTCTGTCACCATGAGTTCTGTCAGCTCTGCAGCCAGGCCCTGGCTCAGCTGAGTTAACACCAGCTCTCTCTCCTGTTTCAACCTACAGGTAAAAGAAAACAACACAAAGGTAAAGCTTATGAACAAATATTATGACTTGCTAATATAAAAGCTTCATTAAGAAAAACTGATAGGAACTTTCTGATCAGTTGAATAGATACCAATGTCAATGTATGGAAATTTTTTGTTAAAACTTGTTCATGTATTATTTTGATCCATTTTCTGTGGCATTTGGTGCACCAAACCTATGGAATTTATCTTAAAAAAATGAATAAAGATCATGACACTCATTTTACTCTTAGAGCATACAAATGGGCATAAGTGGGACTGCCTGAATTGGCAGATGCCACAGTCCAGCTGCCTCCCCACCTAACCTGCTGGGAAGGAGGCACTGTTCACAAGGGCACCAACCCATTCTCTGAGCCAAAGAGGGCACTGGGGTGCTGGCAGGGGTCTGATGGCAGCACAAGAAATAAGAGTAGGGTTGCCAGGTATGGTACAGCATGCCTATAATCCCAGCATTCTGGCAGGCTGAGACAGGATCATAAATTCAAACCCATCCTTAGGTTTAGGATTCAAGCAACTTAGAAACTCACTGCAACCTTGTATCAAAATAAATAGGGGGCTGAGTACACAGCTCAGTGGGAAAGCCTTGGATTCAATCCCCAGTACCACAAAAAAGAAAAGAAAGTCCAGGCATCAGGGCAGTCTCCCATGTCCACTCACCTTTCCTCTTCAGCCCGCCGTTTCTCCTCCTCCTTTCGTTCCCTTTCCTTAGTCACTTCTTCAGCAGCAACATGCCTCAAAATGCCTGTTGTTGCAGCTGCCAGCAGGTCCTCCATGGCAGCATTAGAAACACTAGACAGACAAAGTGGACAGCACTCAAACTCAGAAAAAAGCAAGCCAATATAGATGATCACCAACAGAGATTTGTTACTGGTATGCAAGGACTGTTCAACCTGTGAAAACTAATCATTGTAATTAAACTACATTAACAGAATACAGTTAAAACACACATGTGCATGCATCTTAGTGGATATAGAAAAAAAGCATCTAGCAAAACACAGCAAACTTCATGATAAAGATGGTCAATAAACGAGGGATAGAAGAAACCTCCTCAGCATGTGAAGGCTATCTATGAAGCTCCCACATACTTAGTGATCAGTGAATGAAAGGTATTGCTCTAAGAGGACAAAGACCATGGCACTGTTGGACAGTAGAACTAGAGTAATTACACAAGAGGAATATATGTAAACTGAAAAAAAATAAATGAACCTGTATTTATTCACAGATGATATTTTATATTTAGAAAATCCTAAGGAATCCTAATAAGCAAGCTCACCCAGACTGCAGGACAAAGATCAACAGAGTTGGGCCGGCCAAATAGCTCAGTGGATTAAAGCACCTGCTTACGCAGGCCCAGGGGGCTGGGAGTTCAATCCCTGGGCCTGCCATGCCAGCCCCGCCCCGAGGTGTGCTGTAACAATTAAGACTGGGGGTGGCTCATTCTTGGGAGGCTATAAACAAAAGGATCACTACAACTCAGTGATGAGCACTTGTCTGACATGTGTGAGAACCTGGGCTTGATCCTCAGAATGTAAAAAAAAAAAAAAAAAAAAAAAAGACAGATAAATGGATGGTTGAACAGACAACACAGTTGGCTGGCTGACTGATTGGTAAAAAGGCAGACATTTCTGAACATTAGCAGTGAAAAATTCTTATGAAAATATTCCATTTGCAACAGTTAAAAAGTAATGATAAGGCTCCAGAGGCCAAGGCTGGACTGGCAAGGTCAGCCAGGAGCTGCAAATGTAATGATGAATAAAACAGATATTTCCTGCTATAAAGACTAATGAGGGACCGAGGAGATGGCTCAATTGGATAAGCACTTGACTGGCAAACGTAAGGATCTGAGTTCAATCCCCGGTTCTGCAAAAAAAAAAAAAAAAAAAAAAAAAGACTAATGAGAGGGCCAGCCAGATAGCTCAGCGGACTAAAGCGCCTGCTTTGGCAGAGTGCAGTGGCCAGGGTTCTATCCCTGGTGTGCCATGCCGGCTCTGCCCTTGAGGTACACTGAGATGGCAATTGAGACTGGGTGTGGTGGTATGCACCTGTAATCCCAGTGCTTGGGAGGCTGAAAATAGAATCACTGAGTCCGATCTACATAGTGAGACCCTGTAGACCGTCCTAAATTCATAAAAATAAAGACTAATGAGAAATAAAAATCAAACAAGCAAATGACCTGAGACCTGCTTGAAATGTGGTTTCAGCAAGGACTCAGTTTCCTTCCTAAAGCTCTTATAATTTGGACAGCAGCTGCTTTCATGTTTTCATATATTATTGCGATCACACTCCACCATGTTGACCCTGCTTTGCCTTTTATCAGTGACAATGGAACGTGGCTCCAGAAAAGTACTTGTTTGGGGCAATGGTATATATTGCTGTACTTTTACACCTTGCTACCATTTATGTTCATTATAAGCAAGTTCATGCCCTGAATCCTAAAGAGAACCTTATTATCAAAGTAAAGAAGGTTGGCCTTGTACTTGGAATACTGAGTTGTTTAGAATCTTCTCTTGTGTCAAATTTCCAGAAAACAGCACTTTTTATTGTACATGTCAGTAGTAGTGTGCTCACTTTGGGTATGGGCATATTTTACACACTTGTTCAGACTGTCCTTTCATACCTAATGTAGCCCAAAATTCATGGCAAACAAGTCTTTTGGATCAGACTACTGTTGCTTGTCTGGTGTGGAGAAAGTGCACTTAGCATGTTGACCTGCTCATCAGTTTTGCACAGTGGTGACTCTGGCAATGATACAGTACAAAAACTTCACTGGAAGGTTTTACTTGACTAAAAGACCATAGAAAGCCAGGTATGGTAGTGCTCCCTGTAATGCCAACACTAGAGCCAAGAGGATCACTGCAAGTATGACACAGATTTGGGCTATATAGTTCAATTTTTGTTTTTATGTATCAGGGAATGAATTCAGGACCTCACACTTGCCAGGCAGGCACTAAGCCACTGAGCTAAATCCTCAGCCCTGGCTATATAGTTCAAAACCAGCCTGAACTACATGGTGAGACCTTGTCTCAAAAAAGAAAACAAATCAACGAACAAAAATCGGCCAACTGAGGTAGCACACACTTATCTATAGTCCCAACTACTTAAGAAAATTGCAAGTCTGAGGCCACATTGGCCAACTGAGCAAAAACCTGTATCAAAGAAAAAAAAAGGCTGGGCTGAGGGTGTAGCTCAGTGATACAGTATTTGCCTAGCATGTGCAAAGACTTGGGCTCAATTCCAAGCAACTGGGTGGGTGGGTGGGTAGGTGGGGGTGACAGTACAACCCAGAGCAATCTATAGATTCAATTCCTACCAAAACCCCAACAGGCTGGGTGTGATACTGTAGCCCCAGCACTGAGGTGGCTGAGGTACGAGGACTATATGAGTCTGAGATCAGTCCTTGCTACACAATGAATTTAAGTCCAGAAAAATTCCAAAAGTATATTTTATAAAACTAGAAAAAAAAAAACCCTAACATTCCCATGGTCTCTCCAGTGAAAGTGACAATAAAACAATCTTGAAAAAGAACAATATAAAGGATTGATATTTTCTGATTTAAAAGCTTACTACAAAGCTCCATTAATTAAAACAAGATGGGGCTGGCATAAGGACAGACTTAAAGATCAAAAGATTAAAATAAAAAGCCCAGACATAAACCCCCACAATGCAGTCAAAACAATTTTCTACAAGAGTGGTAAGGCCTTTCAATGGGGGAAAGAACAGTCTTTTCAATAAAAGATGCTGGACCAGGGAGATAGCTCAGCAACGTAAGTGCCTGCCTGGCAAACACAAGTCCTCAGTTCGATCCCTGGTACCAAAAACAAATGAATGAACAATAAAATTCTGGAAAAACTAGATATCTGTATGTAGAAGAATAGAGTTGGACCCTTACACCATACACAAAAATAAAATCAAAACCCCTCAGCTTAAGACAAAACTATAAAACTCAGAAGAAAACACAGGGGACTATCTTTGTGCTATAAGATTTGACAGTGATTCCTTACATGCGACCGCAAGATCAGTCAACAAAAATAGTGAACTGAGCATCAAAACTTTTAAATTTTCTGTATCAAAGGATACTACTGAGGAGCTGAAGGGAGAGGAGGGGAATCGGAAAAAAAAAAGAGGAATTCTGTGGGGTACACATGTGTGGTATATAATGATCATACCCGTGATGCAGGGACTTAGTACTCGTGTACTTTTTTTTTTTTTTTTTTTTTTTTTTTTTTTGGCAGAACCAGGGATTGAACTCAGGCCCTTGCACTTACCAGGCAAGTGCTTATTCTACTGACCTATCTTCCCAACCCCCCAAAAAGAGGAATTAAAATATATCATATTCAGGTACAAATTACCTATCATGAATGTAATCATTATGTATATCTAAATTTTACCAATGGGGAAAAATGTTTATAAATCATGTATCTAATAGAAGATCTATATGCAGAAGAGAATCTCTACAACCAAACCACACACACACACACACACACAAAAAAAAACAGCCCAAGAGTGTACAGAGAGATTTCTCCAAAGATAACATACAAATGGGCAATAAGCACCTGAAAGATGATTAACATCACTAGTCCTCAGAGAAATGCAAATCAAAATTACAATGAGATACTTCCTATTAGTATTTCCTAAAAAATGCAAAACAGATTATCTGATTCACCAATTACACCACCCCTAGCCATGAACTGATAAGAACTGCAAGTAAGGACAGTTATTTGTACACCAATACAGTGGAATATTAGTCATTTAAAAACTTTTTGACACATGGTTCACCATGAGTGAACCTTAAGGACACTGTGCCAATTGAAATAAGCCAAACACAAAAAGACAATTATTGTGTGATTCCACTCTACAAGGTACCAGCCAAATTTACAGAAAGAGTAGACTAGAGATAACCAGAAGTTGTGGGATGGAGGGTGGGGGAGATTACTATTTAATTGGTATTGGGTTTCTACTTAAAATGTTGGAAGAGTTCTAGAAATAGAGGTGATGGAAACATAAACCTAAAAATAGTTAAAATCATAAGTTTTGTTATGTATATTTTATCACTGCTTAAGGAAAAAAATTTGTAATTTTTTTTTTTTTTTTTTTTTTTTAGTTTGGTTTTCTGAGAATCTTGCTACATTGTTCAGGCTGGCTTCAAATTCATGCCAATCCTGCCTCAGCCTCCCAAGTGCTGGGACTACAGGCGTGTTCCACTACACCCAATTAAAACATTTCCTTTCAGTTCTGTTAAATAAACACTTTATGTTTACTGACAGGATAATCAACCGGGGCAGGGCTTAGCTCAGGGGTACAGTGATCCTCAGTTCAATTCTTGGTATCCCACTCCCTGCTCCCCCAAAAAATAACCAGGTATGGATGCATGCACCCATAATCCCAGCTATTTGGGAGAGGTTGGGGCAAGAGGATCACCTGAACTTAGGAGTTTAAGGCTAACCTGGGCAACAAAGACCCCATCTAAAAAAAAAAAAAAAAAAAAAAAAAAATCAAACATATAGACAAGGTTAAGCTTTTTGTTGGATCTGTTTTCTTCAAGTTTGTGTTTCTGAGATGGAGTTCACTATGTTGCCCAGATTGATCTTGAATATGTGGTCTTGAACAAGTGATCCTCCTGCCTCAGTCTCCTAAATAGCTATATTTTTAAAAACAGTAAAATTTTTTTTTATATTTGAGCCACTTCACATGCACTGGGAATACTAAAAGATGGTTGAAATCCTTGTGAAAATCAGATTTATCAAATTTTTGGATTCAATTCACTTCACAAAAATTGAGGGAGTTTAGAAAAGTTTTAATTATTACATTAGGATTAAATCAAGAAAAGTGGTTATCTTTAATCTTATAATGAACTACTCTGTATTAGAATTGTGAGTTATATTCAAAGTTTAAAGAAAAACATTTTAACATGTATAAACTTTAGCGTAGCACAGTGATGCATACTTTTAATCATAGCTACTCCCAAGACTGAGACAGAATTGCAAGTTCACCAATCAGGGCAACTTGGTGAAACTCTGTCTCAAAATTAAATAAAGAACTGGGGATATGGTAGAGTGTGTGCATGATTTTGTGCATTCCACCCACAGAACCGCAAAAAAAATAAATAAATAAACTGAATGTTGCTCACAAAGCATTTACGAGTGGAAATTATAGTCAGGAACTTGAGAAATTGCCTACCTAGAGAATAGAGCTAGGGGCTGGTGAGATGGCTCAGTGGTCTGAAGCACCTACTTAGAACAGGCTTGGCAAGGCACGGGGACCGCGGATCAATCCCCCAGCACCACATGCCGGCCAGCACCGCCCCCTGGTGGGCTGAGCTGGCTACACACACACACACACACACACACACACACACACACACACACATAAATAAATAAAATTTAAAAAAAAAAAAGAGAATAGAGCTAAAGAGATGCAAAGTCCCTGAAACTGACATCGTAAGTACTGAGTGGCAAGGTTCTTAAAGAATAAGAGCAGGGCTCGGGAGATAGCTCAGTGGTCTAAGCAACTGCCTGGCAAGCACAAGGACCTGGGTTCCATCCCTAGTACCACATGCTGTGCCAGCCCCAGAACCCTGGACATGCTGTGCCCATCACTGAAACTGGGTGTGGCGGCATATGCCCGTAGTCCTTTGGAGAGGAGGCTAAGACAAGAGGATCGCTATGAGTCCCAGATGCGTAGTGAGACCCTGTACCAAATAAATAAATAAATGATTTAAAAAAAATTTTTTAAGAATAAGAGCAGCTTTGAGGAGGAAGAAGAGGGACAGCCATGCCCCCAGGGAGCAGGCAGTTGAGGGCAGGAGGGTGACAGACACTACCACTCACCCTAGAGCTGCAGCTGCATAAGCTGCCCCAGCCGTGCCCACCTCCTCGCAGTCCCTCTGGAGGGCCTCTTGGATGAGCTCATCTACCACTTGGGCCAGGTCCTACGGAGAGACCAGTACAGGTCAGATGGAGTGTCCTGCCCAGGGCAGAAATCTGAAGACAGCTAAGATAAGGTGTGTGGTCCCTAGAACAGCAACTGCCCTGTGCACTGCTTCAGAAATAGTCTTTGAGGAACAGAAAAGTGCGTCCCAGGTGGGCCATGGCAAACCTGCCAGAGAGCTACTCTGCAGATGGCCCCACAGTACCCTTTTATTAACATGGAACTTCAATTTTATTTTTCAATAGTGGGGACTGAACCTGGGTCTTCCTACTGAGCTACATCTCCACTCCTTTCAAAGAAAGTTTTTCTTTTGAGAAAGGCTGAGTTACTGAACTGCCCATGCTAGGCTGAAAATGGCTGGCTTTCTGCTTCAACCTTTAAGAGTGCTGGGTTTACAATGGTGCACCAGTACACCCAGCTCACACTGTCCATTTGGAAGCCATTCTTTCTGCTCCTGCTCAGGACTCCCTGACCCTGCAGTGGCCTCATTGACCAGTACCTGTCCCTGAGCAGCCAGAGAAACACAATTGAGTCTCACACTTGGGAAGTGGCGAGCCCACACTTGACCCCAAGGCCACACATTTGTGGGCACACAGCACTGCCAATATCCCACAAGTCCTGGTCAGCCCATCTACTGGGTCCTGCTAAGTACCTCCTGAGGCACTGGCCCCAGCTCTACTGCCCTGGCACCCCTCCAATGAGACCAGGCATTAGAGCAACCTGGGGCAGAGCAGCGGGGTAAGGAAACTCATCCACACTGGGCTTACTGAGCCTTGCCCTAAGACATGCCCTACCGCATCAGAATACACAGGTACAGGCTTCGGAGGCAGCAGCTCAGGCTGTGTGGAGGGCTGAAAGAGGCTCGGTGCCACAGACATGTTTAGCAGTGGCGCGTGAGGCAGAGGTGCAGGCGCGGGTGCAGGGAGCAGGAGAGGCTGCTGGAGGAGGCCTGTGAGAGGCACATCAGGCCCTGCTCCACACTCTTCTCCCTTCCTGTCACCTGGAAAGAAACACAAAAAAATCATAGCACTATAGAGCACAGGACCAGCACTAGGTGCACCCCCAACTCCATGCAGGGATAGCTAGCCATCCAACCCTCCCTTGAGGACTCACTGCCCAGGAGAGGAGTGTTGAACACAGAAACAGCACTGCAGCTGCAGCATCAGGAGGGCTCTGAACAGCTCAGAAGCCTCAAATCCCAGAAAAACGTGAGTCACTAAGCACTGAGCCAAGCAGTTCTCAGCTATAGGGCTTCCAGGAAGAGGATAGTCCTGCACCACTTACCTGCTGCATCCACACTGGGCCTTGTGGGGCCAACAGGCAGCTCCGTAGTTAGGCTTTCCCCGACGTACTTGTTCTGGGTGTTGAAGCTGCACACAGGAGTGTGACGAGGGACTGGGGGCAGTGGCCCTCCATTCACAACTTCCCCAACCGACATCATTAACTTCCTGGTGATAAAAACTGACTTCCTGGCCTTGGATAATCCCTCTGGTTCCAGGAATGCAGATCGGTTCAGCTCAACACAGCTATCCAGACCACAAAGAGCCCACAAAGAGGTGTCACTGGGAAAGGTACAGCACACACCCTGCCCTGCACCAAACAGCCCAGAAGAGGACAGGGCCTATGTGTAGGCACAGAAAGCCCCATGCGATGGATGCACACCTATACACTTCTTCCTGGCTCAAGGGTAACACCCTCCTCCCTCAAAGTCACCCCATTTCTCTGAGGACAGGACCAGAGGGAGGAGCTGTAAGAGACAGTGAAGTATAATGGTGCCATTTGCTGGGCGATGATTTGAGAGTTTCATCATAGTCTAAAAATATAGACTACAAAGGAGTGGAGAACACTCTGGCCTGGCCTACTGGTGTATTCATCTCAGCCAAAAGAGGTGGGCACTAGTGACTCACAGGCCAGCAAAGCAATAGTCAAGAGCCAGAACAGGAACAGGGACAGAGCAGGTATGCTATACCTAACCTTTTATCTTTGGGTTGTCTGGGAACTCATTAAAATCTGTGACTTTGAAGTCACAAAGAACTGGTCTGAACCCCAATCTGCCAACAAAGAGCATGTAAGTCTGGGACTATCCCTCAGGTGCAGTGCACACCCAGGTGGCATGGAGAACACGCCTTCTCCAGGGCCCAGCAAGCAGTAGAGCTTTTTCAGACCTTCATTGGAATTTTAAAAACAAAAGGGAAATACAAGCTCACAGTCGCAGTCTCAGCTCCTACCCTTCAGAAACAGTGAGGCCGTGGCAGTTGAGGAAGTCGGTCGCCTCCTCGCTGTCTCTGAAGAGAAGCATGCGCACCACACCATCCAGGGGAAAGGCAGTCGAGCGCTGTGTGCTCACAGTATATGCAATGCTGAGAGCCCGGAGTGCATCCTTGCGGATCTGAAAAGAGAAGCCAGATAACTGTCACCTGAAAGAGCAATGCACAGTTAGACAAATAGCTGCCCCTGACCTCAGCAGGCCAGCACAATGGATGGCTCCTCCTGCACCGAGTACCTCAGGATGGCAGAGTGGCAGCATTGACCTCAAATTCAAGGGTAACATCCCCCTCCCTCGGTAACAACCCAAGACCGAAGTTGTTCAGTAAAGCAGTCTCAGAAAAAAAGGATGAACCATGAGAGTATCATTCATTAAAAAGGTCAGAGAACAAGCCATCCATCAAAAGGGCATGAAAGTAAACTGCAGCATTCACTCAGCCAAAGACTTTGGAGGTGCCGACTGTCGGGCAAACTATGGAAAGCAGGGAAAGGCACAAGACACAAAATTAAGTATACTAGCTGGGGACAAAATTATTCACAGCATTGTAACAAGTACCTCAAAAAGAGAAGACAATACCAAAACATGAAAATGCTGGCAGAAAATGTTGTGTTGGGCTCCTGGTTGCCCATTTCACTTGTCCTCCCAAACCAGCTTGTCAAGTGTTCGCTATGTCCCCGGTACTCTTCTTAATGCTTAGAGTACAACAGGGAGCAAAACCAACAATAGATCTATCCCCACAGAGCTCACAAGGGAGAAGACACCAGTGCCAGAGAAAATGAACAGTAAGACACATCTAATGATCATTAAGCACAACAGGAGAAACACAACACCAGAAAACAAGGACCACTAATGGGGTGGGGATGGGAGCCCTGCTGAGAAGGCAGCTGGAGTGAACAGAAAGGACAACAGCCACACAGCCTACGAGGCCGAGCTGGGGCCAGAAGGGGGCAGGAAGTCAAGGGAGGCAGAGCTGAGTAAGGGGCAAGATGAGGCCTGATACCCAGGGGACTGTGCAGGCCACTACTAACCAAAGCACTTTTTCAAAAGAAAAGAACACTTGTGCTTCCTTTGGGTATAAAGTTATTAAAAATGGTCACCATTTTTTTCAAATGGTCACCATTTTTAAAGCTAACAACTTGAAATCATTTAAAAATGTACCTACAACTAATATACACTGTAATGCCAGTATTCTGGGAGGCTTAGGAAGGAGGATTTTAAGCCCAGCCCAGGCAACACAGTGACTTAAGACTGTCTCAAAACAAAAAACAAAAGGGGAAGGGGTATAGCTTTGGCTTCGATCCCGTGTGTGTGTGTGTGTGTGTGTGTGTGTCTGTCTCTCTCTCTCTCTCTTTCTCTCTCTCTCTCTGACAATAGTGACCAAATTTGTGAAAGATTCTCAGCCTGGACTGTGACTGTGGTTTATTCACTAGTAACAGGAGGACTTGGAGAAACCACCTCGTCTCAGTCAAAAGACAGCTCCTGAGAACTCCCAGGGGCACCCTTCCTACTAGGCAGAATCCTCCAAGACCCCCATCCTTCAAGGGGCTGGACTGCATGGTGTGTGAAAAGCAAGTGAGCAGTTTTCTGTAGGGGACAGGGTAACAGCACTGCTCATGTCACATCTGCCTGACCAGGGCACATGGGAGTCTAGAAGCTGCTCTATGGGATCCTCAACTCTCCCCACCCAGCTGGAGCTCACACACTGGAGATTCTGAGGTCCAGTTTATGCAAAACCCCAGAGTTCTTTGCTGGGTTCACACACCTGTAATATTTAAATTATGGAACTAAACAAAAAAAGGGGATATAGATGAATGACCATTTTGTATCTGTGTATTCAAAACGGTTAGGGTAGATATATAGCTACATTCTCTTAATTCAAGGAATAGAGGGATTTGTTCTAATAGTGTTTGTAAATAGGATATCATGTCTGCATCTTGTACAACAAATAACCACTAGGAAGGCAGTATGCAACGTGTTAATTATTGAAACTGTCCTACCAATTTGATTTGAAACTGTCTCATTACTACTTATTTCTCAATATAATTATGGAAAAAAAAATTTTTTTTAAAAACCCACAGTTCTGATGACCTCTATTTTCCCAGCACACAGGACAGGAACAGCAAGGAAGGAGCACGCTGAAATGACTTGAACAGCATCAGCCTCACTCCAAAAGTTAAACTAATAACACAAAGAACTTCAAGGTTAGGGATTCGTGCACTCTGATACAGGGTTTTTGCTTTTTGGTTTCTTTGTTTTCATGAAGACAATAGCATTGAGCTCATGTGGTCATTCTGAAGATTCTTATCTGAGTCTTAGAAAAGCATTCCTGCTGTCCAGCCTCTCCCACCAGGACAGGCAATACTAGGCACCCTCAGCAGCAATGGCAGGCTTCCGAGGATGGTCCCACCGGTGGAGGGTGCAGAGCACGAAGCACCATGACAGCACCAGCACTGCCTCCCTTCCTGGCCCTGAGCAGCTGACCCACTCACCTGATGAAAGTAGCAATGTAATAGACACGCACTCAGGTAAGAGGCTGACTGGACCAGTTTAAAAAACCTCACGAAATTATTACTGTTCAATGCAGCAAAGGCCTGGACAGCGAAGTGCACCTCAGGGGAGTTCCTAACATCGGAGTGGAACTGCTGCACCTCTCTGTTAGGAGACAAAACACATGACATATGCAGAAGCAGATCCGCTAAACAACTAGATATCTGTGACACTGAGAAAGAAGGACCTAGCAGTAATTCAAACTCCTGAATTCAGTTTTCTTACTCCTCCTCCTCCTCCTTCTGGACTAGACTGACAGAGATTTTCTTTAAAAAGGTAAGTAAACAACTGCAAGCAACAATTTAAGACATGGTGAATGAAGCTTACCAACCAACTGCCAGCTACGTATATTTAACAAGAAGTCAAAGAAATAGAAATTTTTACTTTTGGGGGTACTTTAGAAAAACATTTATTTGACAAAACTGTTTAAGAAAGGAGTAACCATCATATATGAAAAGTTACACAGCCATTTTCCATAAACAGTTTGTCTTCAAGGCTCAATTTTGTTTACATGGTTTGTTTTGTTTTGTTTTGAGACAGAGGCTTGCTATGTAGTTTAAGCTGGCCTTAACTATGATGGAGTCCAGGACTTGAACTTCAAGCAATCCTCCTGCCTCAGTTTCCTTAATGCTAGGATTATAACAAAGCTTAATTTTAAAATTAAAATCAATCATTTATCAGGTTCCTTAGAGAAAACACTAACCTGAAAAAGAATTTCAGCATGAATAAGAGAATCTTGGAACTAAAGGGGAGAGTGGCCACCAATGAGTTCAGCATTTCACCACACAAACATGGACCAAGAACCTGCCTTACTTCTCATATAAAAGTCTACTTATCCTTACCATTTTCATTTCCTACAATTTTTTTCTCTTTCCTAGACTTTCAACAGAACCTCCTGGAAATAGTGAGTTGCTGACCACTCCCATGGGGTACCCTGACTGTCCTGTCCTCATTTACAGCCTGTCTCACTGGGAGGAGCTTCCTTCATGTACTCTCATGTTACTTATACAGAGAAGTAACAGTTCTCAGGAACAGAGAGGTCTAGGTCAGACATGCTAAAAACAGAGCAGGCTCCTAGCCCTCTGTCCCCAGCTCAGCCTAGTTGCTCTGGCTCAGAGCAGGATACCCAGTGTTTGTTATAGAGATTCAGCACTATCAACGACTGTTACCTTAAAACATCTTTTCCTGCTCATACTTTGCCTATCCAAACACCAGGGGCCCACAGCTGAGCCTGGAAGCTCACCTCAGGATGTCTCCCTTGTTGAGATTGAGCAAAACGTTATAGCCCTGGAACTCAGCCTCACTGGCACAGATGATGCCCCTGCCCCTTAGGTCCTGATACATCTCCTTCAGACTTTGCAGGCACTTGGTCATGTTCTCATTGTTGATCTTGGCGTCAAAGGAAGACATGGGCTCCTCACACATGAAGTGGGCACAGTGGATGTGAAACCGGGTGCACTTCTCAATTAAGGATACTGTCAGAGGGTCACAGAGGTGCTGCTGTGTGATGTCCTGGAAAAGGCAGGTGGAGAGTTACACAGACATACCCCACTGCTTACACCACACATGCTCCTCACACACACTTCCCGGGCATACAGTCAGCTGTGGGAAGACTCAAGCTTATCACCTGCATCTCTCATACAACAGCTGAAAACCAAGCCCATGATGTGCATAGGGTTTCATAATGGTTTAAATAGGAACATATTTTTATTTCAGGTGAAGATATCTGAGTAAAATGAAGAGAGTGAGAAGTTTGGGTGATACCTTCCGTATGCCCCGTGTGCGGTTCCACACGAAGTCATACCAGTCCCGCAGGCTGCCTTCCTTCTGATCCATAATCTGGGTGACCAGGTAGTCCATGGTCCTGCTAAGCACTGCTGAGGGCCGCAGCTCATGGGGCAGGGGCTCCTCCTGGTCTGCTGAGGACCGGCTATACTCCTTCACAGCCAGTGCATGGTCTACCTGGTAACATAAAATAAGGAAAGGCTGCTTGTGTGGCAAGTACTAGGCCTTCTGGTACAGCTACCTACTAAAATGAGGGGGAAATTAGCCATGTATTGTGGCACACACCTGTGATCCCAGCATTCTAGGAAGCTTAGGTAGGAGCACTGCAAGCTCTAGCCAAGTTCTGAGCCCTTATTTCAAGATTAAATAAAAGAAGGGCTGGTCAGATAGCTCAGCAGATTAAAGCACCTGCTTAGGCAGACATGGGGATCAGGGTTCGATACCCAGTGTGCCCTGTCAGCCCCACCCCTGGGGTGCACTGAGATGGTGATTGAGACTGGGTGTGGTGGCACGCACCTATAATCCCAGCACTTGTGAGGCTGAAAACAGGAGGATCACTACTAATCCAATCTGTGTAGTGAGACCCTGTAGATCCTGTACTAAATACATTAAAATAAATAAATAAATAAATAAATAAATAAATAAATAAAAGACAGGCACTGGGGATGTAGCTTAATGCAAAGACCTGTTCAATCCCTAGAACAGCTAAAAAACAAAGAAAAAGAAAATGAGGGAAGAATAATATACAAAGTCAATGCTCATAAATACACTTTTTTTTTTTACAGAATCTTGCTATTTTAGTCTGACCTTGAAATCACTATGTAAGCCAGGCTAGCCCCAAACTCAAAATGGTCCTCCTGCCTCAGCTTCCTGAGTGCTGCAGTAATGTACCACCAGCCCACCTTTACTTTTTAAATGAAAATGTTCTGTTAAAAGGTGATATTTGAAAGATAGCTAAGTGTTGTGGTATACACCAATAATCCTCACTACTCAGAAGGCTGAGATAGGAGAACTGCAACTTTGATGACACCCTGAGCAACTTAACAAGACCGTGTCTCAAAATTAAAAATTACGGGGCTGGGGAGATAGCTCAGTGGTCTAAGGGCCTGCCTGGCAAGCACAAGGACCCGGGTTTGATCCCTGGTACCACTTGCTGTGCTGGCCCCACCCTGGTCACATCATGCCACCACAGAAAGTGGCATGGTGGTGCATGTCTGTAATCTCAGAGCTGGGGAGGCTGAGACAGGAGAATCACTATGAGTCCCAGCTTCATAGCAAGACCCTGTACCAAATATAGAAATAAAAATTTCTTAAAGAAATTAAAAGGGCAGGGAATGTAGCTCCCTGGTAGAGCACCTTTACCCCTACCCTTGAATCCCTAGTACCACCAAAACCAAAAATTTTAAAGAAAAAATAAACTGAGAGTGTTGGTTATAGCAAATATGACAATAAGTTATGAAAAGAGGATGTCACAAGGAAGAACTGAAGTGATGTCTTGCCTGGCTCCAAGGTACAAAGATAGACAGTAACAAGACTTTCAAGCACTGTAAAAAATATAGTCACTCCACATGCCAAGTCAAGTCTACACAGCCAGAAACAACTGGATGGGCAGTGAGGGGCAGCAGGGTAAGTTCAGGGCCAGCTGCACATACAGGCCTGCACCCATACTTCTGCCTGTGCAAGGAGGGAAGGCATATGGAACACCCAAAGTCTGCAATCTGAGTACCTGCTGCCTTGGGGCAGGCCCTGGACCTCTGTGGTGACATCATGCTAGGCTGGGGCTTCTGCATCAAAACCACTGGCCAGACAGAAAAGATGCTCACAAACAAGACTGTGAAACAAAGGAAACAGTGGTGCAGACTACTGAGGAGACCACCTGGAACACAAACTGATACGTGCTCAGGACAAGGCAGACCCTGTGAAACAGTAACTTAACACTTTAGATTAATCTCAGCACTTTGGAGGCTAAGGTAGAGGATTGCTGCAAGTTTGAGGCCAGCCTGAGCTATGTAGCGAGACCCTATCTCAAAAACAAAACAAAACAACAAACCCTTCAGATCTGTCAGAAAAAATGATCTTATTACCACAAGTATAACATAAAGATGCCAAACAATTAATTAAAAATAAAAACAATAAAAAATTAGAAATAGCCTATCCACTGACTATAAAAACAGGCTTTGCCAGAGCTACCTATTCAAATATAGGCTGCATTTAGAAAAGCTTAGAGTTCATCACGACAGTGGTAATGAAAAGATACAAATTGAAATCTAGGACTTAATTTCAAATGTACAGAACATAAATACAGAAAAGAACAGAAATTGTAAAAAGGAAAAAGAAATTAAAGTTTTAATCTATTTTTTAAAAGTTTTTATTTTACTTTGTGAATTAACTTCTTTGAGTCAGGGTCTTACTAAATAGTTTAGAGTGGCCTTAAACTCACTAAAGAGCCCAGACTGGCCTCAAACTGTGGCAATCCTCCTGCTTCAACTTCTCAAGTGCTGAGATTGCTGGCATGTACCACCAAGGCTGGCTAGTTTAAATCTACTTTTAAAACCTACATCTAAAGCCAGAGGTGGTGGCACACACTATAATTACAGCACTGTGGGAGTAGAGGCAGGAAGATCCTAAATTCAAGCCCAGTCTGGACACTTGAGTGAGACACTATCTCACATTTTTTTAAAATGGCTGGAATTTAGCACAGTGTGAAGGCTTTGGACTCAATGCTCAGTACCATTTAAAAAAAAACAAAACAACATATATCTATACCTTATCACATAATTACCATGTGGGTCCAGTCATACTACACAAAACATACACATTACAAAATAGCTTAATATGATTGTTAATAGCAGAAATAACTGCCACCCACTCCCAACACCGTAAACAATAGTCCATGTCTTCCCCACCACCTGCACACCTCTATCTTCAACCCCCACTTAGTGGGAAGACCCAGCGTCCCACCTGGTCAGTCCCTGGGACCACTTCGAACACACTCAGCTGGCTCCGGGTCTCCCGCATGTACCGCTCTTTCTCAGGACACATGTCAGGGCAGGTGCCCACAAAAGTCCTCGCTTTGTCCAGGTCAGTCCTCTTCACCCGAGCTGAGTGATATCATGCAAAAGAAGGTAGCACAAGGTTGTTGAGAAACCACAGGCATTTTCATAATGACAAAAGAAAAAATATAAGTTTTTTAGAAGTCACACTAATAATAAAAGCAGGCGTGGTGGCACATGCCTGCTATCCCAGCACTCTAAAAGCTACCGGACAAGGATTATTTCAAGTTTGAGATCATACAGGGCCAACCTGAACTCCATAGCAAGACCCTGTCTCAAAAGACAAATAAATAAATAAACAGAAGTCATACAGAAACTTCAAAGGAAAAGAATATTTGTAAAACTCTAGGCCTCAGATAAAGGGGCTTGTGGATTATTACTCTAGCAATAAGCCTGGTCAAGACCATGAGGTACACTAACTCCTATAACCACCACAAAGACAATCATGATATGGGATGTCTACTATGAATATAAAATTCTTACATGTAAACATTCAAAATATACTGATATTTCACAGGATTCTGTCACTGTATTAAATCACATACTGAAGGTCACCTAAGTCCTGATCTGGTAACTGGTAACACCAATCACAGTTTTATAACTGTGAATAAACAGGGCCAGTGGTATAGCTCCACATACTAAGAAAGGAAATTTCAAAGAGCAGGCCTATAATCTCAGCACCCAAGAAGCTGAGGCAGGCGGACTGCTCCAAATTCAAAGCCAACCTGAGCTGCACAGCGAATACAAGACCAGCCTGGCCAAGCGTGGTGGCACATGCTATAATCCCAGCACTTGGGAGACTGAGGCAAGAAAATCAGGGTGTGTTCAAGACTAGCCTGAGCTACAAAGTGAGTTCAAGGTCAGCATGAACTGCAGTGACAGCTTGGTTTTTTTCTTTTTAAAAAAAGACCAGCCTGACTACATAGTGAGACCTATCTCAAAAAAATTTTTTAAAAAGAGAAGCTCCTACAGATGAAATTTAAGAAAAAATTACCAGGAAAAAATGTGTTTCCTTTTTAGTTACTGCATATATTTTTAATGTTAAAGGGACGATCCTCGGAAGGTAAAAGAGTCAATTTAGCAGCCGAGAGGCATAACAATGCCGAAATAGAGCACCCCTTCTCCCTCTCTGCAGACAATCAGCATGAGTTTGTCCATAGCCCTGCGCCCGACTTCCCACATACCCAGGTAGATGGAAGGATTCATTTACATGCCCACAAACAGCACTCACTCCAGGAATATTGGTTGACAGTAATAACCAGAGGCAGCATATCAGAGCCCCAAGACAACAGAAGCACAGCTCCAGGAAAGGGGTCACTCCCTCTTGTGTCTCCCCCAAAAGCACTTCACCATAACTGTGCCAGGATTCTGGAAGCTCAGCGCATAAGCACTGTACCTTGCCGCATGATTCGGTCTCTCTGGTCGAGTAGGCGATACTTCTCCTCAGATGTCTCAGCCACAGTGCCTATCAGGGCACTGAGGGACGGCACACACAGTCCCAGGCCATCGGAGCACTCAGACCCAGAGTCAAAAGCATCTCCTTCAAACTGGTGGGCCTTCAGAAGACTTGGCTTCTTTACTGGAGAACTACAAGGAAATTACACATCAAGTGCCCTGGATCATTCTATTTCCAAGTCTCTCAAGACCTTTTGAACCGCTAAAGCTAGTATAAGCATTGAAATGAAACATCTTGATAAAGTCGATGGTGAAAAAAGAAACAAAAAAACCCTTTTCCTCATAAAATGAAAAACCTTGGAATGGTTGTAATCCTATGCCTGTAATCCCAGGTACTTGGGAAGCTGAAGCAGGAGGCTCATAAATTCAAGCCCAGCAAAGACAATTTAGGGAGACCTTGCCTCAAAATAAAAAAGGCCTGGGGCTGTAGCTCAGTGGCAGATCACTTGCCTACCATGAGCAATCCACTCCCTAGGTTCAATCTCTAGTACCACAAAAATAATAGTAAAAAATAAAATGGAAAAGAAGCCAGGCATGGTGCTATGTGCCTGCAGTTCTAGTTACTCAGAAGGCTGTGGCAGGATCACTGAAGCCCAAGGAGTCAAGGACAACATGGGCAACATGGGGAGACTCACCTGAAGAAAGAGAGAAAAAAGAAAAAAGGGTTAGGGGCTGCTGATGGGAACAAAAGTGTTATTTATTGGTGTTTTTTTTTTTTTCCCGGAACCAGGGATTGAACTCAGATCCTTGCGTTTGCCAGTCAAGCGCTTATCCTACTGAGCCATCTCCCCGGCCCCCTATTTATTGGTTTTTTAATCTTTAAATATTTCCTATTTTTTGAATGAGATGATCTTATTTAAACAGCTGAGCTATGTATTTATAAACTTCCATCTCAAAGAAACTAAATTCATTACAAAAAAAGCATTTTAATAGTCTGAGAAAAAAATAAATAGTCTGAGGAATACTTTGCCTAACACTTTTGCCTGACTTCCTTTTCACAGAAGGCCACTCAGGACTGAATCTTCTCTCATATCCTACTGTTTTCAGAACCTAAAATGTCAAAATGGATAGAAGAGTGGTTGAATGGAGGAAGAGAAAAAAGCAAACCAGCAGCTAAATTACTGGTCACAAGATGGAAAGCAAGGGAAGCAAGGCACTGGCCAAGAGATGAGAAGGGTTAAAGCAGAGACTCAAAAGAAGCAGGGGAGGTGAGAAAGGAGGCTGGGAGTCAGTCAAGCATCTCGGCCCACAGCCCAGGGCACAGGTCTTTAGGAAAGAGTCCTCCATACATACTCACACCTTACACCAGTCATCACTACCCAGAAGCAGCTTCTATTTTATAAAAAGTGATGACTAAAAATGCAGTTATTACGGCCATTTAGATTTTTAAGGGGAAAAGTTACCCCATATGCATTAACTTGTCAGATGGAATTTCAAGCAGCTTCGTGAGACTTGGAATTGAGACAAGCAAGATGTGCCCAGCATGGGCACTATCGCCTGAGCTTCATGGTACAGGCAGCTTTTGTGCAGACAGAAGGTCTGCTATCCTGGTGAGCAGCCTCCTGATTACGAACTGACTTTCTGCATCCTATAGTTGTGGGCAAAAGGATCAGCTACAGAACTGTGCTGAGCTTCTTCCACAGAAAGTCCAGATGGATTTTTAAAATATCCAGCCCAAACAAGGAAGGACCTTGTCAGTTCCAGTATAATGTGAATGGGGAAAGAGGATCACCCCATAGCAGGACTCTCACTCTCAAGTACTAGCCAGGAGTCTCAGCCCCAGCTACCTCACACAGCCCTGCTACAGGAAGGCCCTCCCCTCTACCCTCAGCAGTTACAGGCAACTAGCTCTTATTGTCTCCCACCCTCCATGGTCCTTCAATCCCTACTCAGGTGTCACTGTGTGGCCCAACTTCTCATCTGTCCCTCCTGAATGTGGTCAGCAGGAGACATCAGTCCCACCTTTTATTCAGGAGGCCGCTGGCTCTCACTATGGCCTTGCCAAGAGGAGAGTGCTGGAAGGGCATATCTTCTGGGCCTTGGCTGGCTTCACCATCCCCAGATTTCTTCTCCTTTGGTGAAAAGGGTTTCTTGTTGGGACCTGACAACAGAGAACAGAGTTTATACTGCCACAGCCTGATGCTGGACTTTTAGTTTCTTTTTGACAAAGGAATACTGACACACAGAGTTATAGAACAGCCCAAGGAAACAACTATAAGACATAAGAACCCATTTAGATCCAGCCTCCCCACTGGCCTTAGGAAAAGGAAGTGCACTCCCAGCCAAAAGGCCTCACACACAGAACATTAGATTGTGAAAGAATCACTGAAAACTCACTTATTTTCTTCTTGTGCCAAAAGATAGTCACGTCCTCATGGAAACTTTTCCCCTTCTTCTTAGCCAGGGCTGCAGATGCCTAAAAAACAGTCCCTGACTAAGTATGAAGATAACATCAACCCAAGAACATGAGGATGAAAAGTGCAAATGCATTAAGGCCACTCAAAAATAAGAAAAAGAGCCACTATCCTGTTCTGCCAGGACACCTCCTCCTGCTGCACTACATGCTCTGTCCACATCATCTGCCTCCAGTGTGGAAACCACATCTCTCCTCTCCCTTTCCTATCTCACAAGCAGGTACCATTCTTCTCCTTTTCAAAACTAATAACTGTGCTGTGATAGAACCCATGAAGATAGCCTCTGGTCTTTGGTGAAACAGGATAGAATATTATGCATCATTTAACAGTCCCACACTGTTTATTGATTTCAGAAAATACAAACAATTAGCTGAACACAGTGACATACACCTATAGTCCCACTTACTTGGGAGGCTAAGGCAAAAGGACTGCTTAAGTCCAGAGTTCAAAGCCAGTGTAGACAACATAGCAAGACCCTGTGTCTTTAAAAATAAATAAATAAATAAAATAAGCCAGATATGGTGATGCAAGGCTTTAATCCCAGCACTCAGGAGGCTGAAGCAGGAGAGTCAAGGGCAACCTGGGTTACACAGTGAGATCAAGGCTAGCCTGAACTTCACAGCAAGACTAAAAGAAAACTAAAATAAGAACCAGGTGTGGTGGTGTACACCTGTAATCCCAGAACTCAGCAGGTTGAGAAGGGAGGATTGGTGCAAATTCAAGACCAACCTGGGAGCTACAAAAGTGGGCATAAGGCCAGCCAGAACTGTACAGCAAAACCCCATCTCAAAACAAACAAGCAAACAAAACAAACAAACCAAAAAAAACCACCTTAAAATAAAATGTTTTAAAAACATCTTTTCCCAGTGGGGGATGCAATGGGTCAACTGAATTTTGTGCTATAACTATGGAAAACTATTAGGTTCCCTTACACTTCCTGTTATCTACTCTAAGGAATGTGTCCTCACCCTCTGTTCAAGGCTGTTTAGTAATGAGTAACTGTCTCCCTACACTCCCTAATCTAATTCCTATAAACATAGTCAGCTGAAGATGTATCTTGTAAAAACAGCTTGCTCAACAAGCCCCCACACAGGCAAGTTACACACATTGCTGAACTGTGAAAGACCCCTTATTCATGTGGTTTTCTGCTTTAAAAACTCCTTGTTTGTGGACAGGATATCATGTCCGTATCTTGTACTATGAATAACCACTAAGAAGACAACAATATGCAACGTATTAATTATTGAAACTGTCCTACTAATCCGTTTTGAAACTGTCTCATTGCTATTTGTTTCTCAATAAAATTATTAAAAATTAAAAATTAAAAAAATTTCTTTGCTGCCTAGGCTAGGTGCAGTTCAGGCTTCTGCGTGAGAACTGACTGACAATCTTGAGCTCAACAATACAGACTCTTGGGCTGGTGAGATGGCTCAGTGGTCTAAAGCACCTACTTAGAACA